AGTTGAAAGAGCAGTCTTCAGTGTTGGGGTCTTCATCCGCCTGAGCGTGTTGAGAGACAGAAAGAAAGAAAGGGAATGAGATCAGGAGAAATGGGCAAAGCAATACAAACAATTGTTTAGACTTGTCGTCATCTGTGGAATCACCAAATCTGATCAAAATCTGAACCATACATTTAACCAGCTCAGACACAGTGATGGAGAAAGTAGCCACATACTTAAATTACAGAATTGTAGGCAGTTACTGAAAACATGTTTTTAATTGAAGTATAGTTACTCAAGATGATGGTTTTGCAAAGGGAAAAAAGCCGAATATATCATTTTTGATATAAAAGAAGCTTAAATGTATAATATAACATTCATTCTGTTAATCTATTACAATTTGAATTAAAGTTAAAATTGTAAAAAATGTTTAAGAATTGTTTTCCGGTTTGCCAGTAATCAGTGTTGTAAGGTTTACACTTTTAACTTACGTTTGGTAAAAGACTCAGATCTAATGCCCAGATGAGCGACATAATGGGTAAATGGAGACATCTAGTGGACATTTACTTCCATTACACTTTCTCTAAAGAAACCCACCATCTGCACACTTTCGATGTTGCCATTAACTTACTTTATCATCAGCTTTAGGAAGAACAGTCTCTGAACTCGCACAGTCACCTCGAGGTCGTTTCTTGGAGTTTGAGAGCGCGCTGGAGCTGTGAGGTTCATGGAATCTTCCAGAACTCTGCACGGTCGAAACATTAGCTGCGTGCTTCATGGTGTCGCACAAGTGCGTAGGTTTGCGATTAAGAGCCGCTGCTTCTTGTTTCTCGTTGTCCTCGAAGAAATGCGGCCTCTTTGTGTCGCTCACACCCCCACCGGTGGGATCCATGCTATCCAGTTGCAGGTCAGCGCTGCTCAGGGAACCGTAACACTTTTTAGATGGAGCCTCGTAATGAATTGTGTCGTCGGCACGTCTCTTCGCCATTAACGTAAGCTATGTGCGCACAATAGTATATCGCAGTAAACCAAAAACACGTGGGAAGTTGATATTACTAGCAACGATGTGGCTTCACTCCATGCTTCAGTCGCACAACAAAAAGTACCGGAAGTGTATTTATTGCTAGGCAGTCCGCTTGACCAATCAGAGTAGAGCACCGCATTCTATCCCCGCCCACCGCCTCCCCTCTTCCTGTGGCGGTACATTCATGCTCATCATCCTCCATGATCCTAACAAAGAGTTCGTTTTTTTGTGCAGTAAATCTTATTTTTGGGGAACTTTTATATTCATAAAAAGAGATGGGCAGACTCAAAACCTGATTTTGAACGTTTTTGCCAAGAGTTGAAGTGATAAAATAGCACTATTAAAAACATTAAGAATAAAAAGCAATAAAAAATGAATTGCGTATTTAACAAATATATAATCTGAAAACTGTCAATTAAAACGAAGACTATTTTATATTTTTTGTTTTGTTTATTTATTTAATGTCATTTTGTACTCAACAGGGTTGGGCACATGTTAAGGGACACACTTTCACTGTAAAATTACTGTTATTAAAAATATGTTTATGATTGGTCAACAAGAAGGAGGAGGAGGAGATTTTGGGAATAAGTCCTCCCATCGTGGCCCCCAACCCTTTTAAAAATCTCCAGTCTCACATCCATTGATTAAATCTTTTGAACCTTAAACAAAAGAGACAGGTGTAAATAACAAGGCTTCCTTAAACACTAAATTCAAGGAATTTCAAGGCCCAATTCCTTCCATTGCAGGCACCCAGCACGGCATAAACACGGATCAAGGTTGATTACGTTCGCAATTGCTCAAGGCAGGTGGCATGTTAAAGAATGACGCAACAGATGGAGACGCATGCAGACAGCTTAAACTTTCAAGGCCTTGATGTTTTTCCCCTCAAATTTAAAAGAAAACTTTCAAGGACACATAGGAAGCATACAATTAAGGGGGCTGAGTTCCATTTAGCTTCTTTTACGGTCCAGATATTATGCATGCTTTTACACTGTCACAACTTACAAACCATTAGTTATTTTACAAACGCCTGTACCTGCACCTTTCCTACGATGACAAAAAGTCTGCTGTTAAAAATAAAAAGGTTTATTGGTTGTATTGTTGTACTTGCTCCTACATTTAAATTAAATACATATTTTTTAAATGTGTACAAGAGCTGCAATTTAGTGCACTTATGCTTGGGTTTGTATCATTTGAAACCTTAAGAAGTAAAACTCTGGAGTTTAATATTTTTGTAATACTTGGCTTTATTAAAAAATGTGATTAGAAACCGGGAAAGTCGATGAAAGTGAACTTTAAAATAACATGTTCTTGAAAAGCTGAAAACTGTTTGGATTACATTTTCAGTCTTGACTGATTATGAATATGAAAAGGTAGACATAGTAATTGGCACCATATGTGAAAAAATAAATATATTTCAAAAGCTAATGCTCACACACAGGGTTCGAGTTATAAACTGAGCTCTATGGGGGTCTTTGAAACTAACGCGTGCACACGCGCACACACACTCAAACTCAAACACACACACACACACACACACCAATAATAAACATATGGACAGGGGTTACTATTTAAAAAAATGTGCAAATGTATTTGGGAACCTATCCATGTGAACATATTTTGGGGGTGGACCTCAAATCCTCTAGGGGGGTCCGGGGGCATGCCCCCCCTGGTAAGATTTATTTTTAATTTTGGAGTTAAATGCATCAATCTGGTGCATTTTGAGGGGAAAATAAAGAGACTAGATCTATGGAAACACCCATATGAAACAGATGCCACATCATGTAGACAGACAGTCACCCTGTGTGAGGCAAACCCACATTTGCGCAGCGTTGCGTTCACAATAGCCTACATTAAAAAAAAAAGATCGCTAGGCCATCGGGAAACCTCCCGGCCCTCCCGATGGCCAGTCCGGGCCTGCCAGCAGGAAAATAGCGTGAAACTTTACATGGAAGTTCCAAAGTAACTTCCTGAAATGTAATTGTCTGCGGTGATTCTACGGAGTCCCCAAAGGCCCAAAATTGTGCACACAAAACATATTTTCGGCTGCCCGGGCATAAGGAAGTTGCTCTACTTATGAAATCTCTGTTAGTTTAAACTCCCACTTCACTACTTTACATTCAAAACAAATAGCTTATAAAATATGGCACGGCATTATTGATAAAGCTACATATTAGTCTATAAAATAGTTACATCATACTTATCTTAACCAGCAACACCAATAAAATACTGCTTCACATAAATGCATCGCAAATAATCATCAGTTTTTATTCAATGCATATAGAGGCAACTGAACCACACATCAACATTTCATCCATGCATTTCTTCACTTGTCAGTTGTTGTTCAAGCTCTCAAACAAACAAGCGGGCAGTACATCACATTGGCTCTTTTTGCTGCTACTTTGACAACATGGTTGCAACCGGTTTTGTTTTCGTGCTGTTGATGCCAATTTTCATTTTTTTATATAGTGAGTTGATGATTTCATAAACTAAGAGTGAGGTACATTTTCGCCTCGCAAATTTTCCATCCAAATGAAGCAACATTTCTAAATCATTTTCAGACAAATTTGACTACACATGTTAGTGTTGTTAGATCTTATTGTCTTATATTTTTGTACAGCACTTTGAATTGCTTTGTGTTGAAAGGTGCTATATAAATAAACTTGCCTCGCCTTGCCTAGTGATGACTCAAAATCTACTAGGATTAATAAATGTCCAAAGTGTCTATTACGTTAGTAGGAAATCCAACCTAGAGCAATTGAGCATTGGAGTAGAACATGTTGTTTCATAAGGCCCAATGAGAACAAACACGAGGCAGAATCTAAACAGGAAAGTGTAAAAACATGTTGAATCATTAAACATCTGATAGAACAAGAACAAGACACACTTAGTTTTTGTTTTTCTAAAAACAAAACAATGAGGTAGATAATTGCTGTAAACATTTTTAAGGAGGGGCAGCTTGGGCGTATTGTTGTACATAGCCGTGGGAACATGTTTCAAATCGGGGGTGCTGTGGGGATGACACCAGAGCCGGTTCTGACCAATTTGCTGCCCTAGGCATTATCTTCCGCCACAGATTTGGGGAAATTGGTCCGTGCGCAAAGCATTGTGGGGATTTTAAGACCGCGGAGTCTACTCATGTGCAGCCTCGATATTTCTCCAAACGGAGTAGCCTACGCCGGGTTCGGTAGATTTCCAAGTATGCTGGAGATTGGAACAGTACTTCGGCGGCACTCGATGACGTAGTATGCTTGAAATAGTGGCTCTGAAGCAGCTTTACTCGCGATTGAGAAACACCCACCGGCTCGAGATCGCTAGAATTTGAAAATACACAACCGGAGAAAATCTGCCACTTCCTTATAGAGCCCCTCCTCCAACACACACGAACGCGCACATGACCAATGAGGGCACGAGATAAGTTTGTGCACAGATGGAAGGCTGACAGGCAGGGAGGCCATCCAGTTATTTTAGCCGGGCCGGCTAAAATGATTGCTTCCACAGATGACATTTTTGTATGGATTTTTTGTCAAAGCACTTAAGATATTCATTGCTATCGGGATGTTAAGAGCATTCCATGGAATATAACAAAAAGTGTATCTCGAGCCGGTTTCTCAAACTTACCTACCCAACCTTTAACGTAAATAATACTCATTACATTGACACATGCATTATTTGTGATTAAAATAATGGTTGTTGGTAATGTATTAGCGACCCCCACAGATGTATGATTTCACTGCGTCCGTGGGAGCTCAGACCCCTCCTTATGGGATCACATTGGCTCCCACATAACTCGAACCCTGCTCACACACACACACGCCCGCCCGCCCGCCCGCCCACCCACCCACCCACCCACCCACCACACACACACACACACACACACACACACACACACACACACACACACACACACACACACACACACACACACACACACACACACACACACACACACACACACACACACACACACCACACACCACACACACACACACACATCACACACACACACACACACACACACACACTCAGGCAGTGAAAGTCAATGGAAATGAGAATTAGTAAGAGCCCAGGCAGTCAAAGTGGAACACAAGCAACTTAAGCAAAAGGCAAGCAAGTGTAAATGACTCCTCAAACCCAGGTAGAAAGAGATGTGGAGTATTTAGATGTTTTAGATGAAATGGTGATTTCCAAATGAATCAGAAAAAAAGAAAGTATTAGTCCACTGCTTTTTTTTCCTTCTGTATCCGTTTTCTTTTTCATTTTGTTGGTCTCGTCTTCGCTCAGTCAATGGTTGTATGCCTCTAAGTTAATTGTTTTTGCCAAATGATTTCCTGTCACGTCATGGTGTCAGTACTTTCTCGTCGTGGGGACTTAGCAGCCGGTGGGGTGCTCTGTAGATGGTCATCTTCTTCTTCTCGACCGTTACAGTACACGTCTGCAGGTTTTCGTGCCACAAAAAAGACGCAGTCGTAAATGTATCTCAACATGGAGTGGTCGTTCTCCGTGTATGTGGTCTGAACTGACTCCTTTTCCACCTGCAGCACAAATAGAAATACTATTTTACAACTGGAACAAGATGTATGAAGACAAACATAATGCTAAGCCATGAATATAAATAAAAGTCCTTTGTTGCTTACCTCTATATGGAAGCCATAGTTGACAATCGCTGTCCTGATGTCTTCGTAGCTAAGTTCAACTGACAGCTCGTCGGCCATGTTCTCAAAGTGGTACAGCAGCGGACCTGAAGAAACATTGAATTTAAACTCTGAAATAAGTTTACTGAGACCCAAACCGTAAAACCTTTTTTTTATACAACTTTAATTTCAATATAAAAAATGTAACCCACAAGGTTAACATGCATGTACATCCTATTCAGTGAGATTCTGTTGTGTTATTTTCTTTCATTTGCAGATAAAAGTTAAACAATATATGGCATTAGTAATGCTTTGGAGTGAAGCGTAATAGCAGAACGTTCTGCAGCTTTAACGCAAAAATTGCCCAATTTAAGCTTTGAACTAAGCTGAGCAAAGTAGGAACATAAGTAAATACATGCAAAAGTTGATAGAAAACATATTATGATATAATGTAAACATATGTTACTTGCAAGTGTATGGTGGTAAACATTTTTAACCAGTCCAAATACCTTGTTCTCTACACATAGAAATAATTGTATTTGTCTGTAAAGTTTACAAAGATATATGTTTCTTTAATTTTTTTACAAAAGTTGACTCACCCAGGTTGATCCACACTCCACCAGGCTTAAGAATCTTCCAGATAGTCTCTACATACTCAATGACATTATGAGCTGTGTCTATAAAGAAGCAGGTAGCCACACAGTCCCAGGAATCTAACCCAGGAAGAAAATATATTATAACATGATCACATTGAATAATGTTGCGAAGTGCACAATGCGGCAACGATAAATTATTATTCATTTACAGAACAGTTTGGGATGGTCAGTTTTGTTTGGGGTCATTGTAAAGTGTATCCTAATAATGAAACATAATCCGAAATATTTTCTGGGTTAATTGAAGCTAGAAATAACAAGATTTGCAAGATTGTACAAAACGTTTTTATACATACAAAAAATACAAATGTTTTGCTGAGCTTGCGGAAACATACAATATGGGAGAAAGCTCTGCCTGAAAGACCATTTGAAAAATTGCAAAACGTCCACACAGCTGCTACTGACCTGGGTCCCTGTACACTTCCACAAAGTCACCAGCTACCATGGAGAAGTCTGCATCTAGTGGCAAGCTCTGAGGGTTGACATCGGGGAATGTGATTGGTCGTGTTTGGTCGGAGGATTTCTTGTTGTTGCTAAACTGGTGGATCCAGGGGTACAGGGTCAGAGAGTTCACGTTTTCACACCTGAATAGAGCAGTCCAAATGTACAAGTGGATGGATGTAAGTGGTATTCAATATAGCAGGAGGGCAGAATGCACTGCCAAACAATTGAATATGAAACATGATTTAATTTGTGATCACTGACAAGGTTAAGATGTAGAATTATGTGTGAGGTTATAGTCCCTAAATGTTGTGTCAAGGAAGCTGGAAGTGGCAGTGAATACTGTACCTATTGAGAACAAAGTTTGAAGAGAAGAGCATGAAGAAGCTCCATTCGTTGCCTTGGCAGATGTAACCCAGACGTGCTATCTCCCAGGCTAGACGGCCGAGTCCAGCGCCCGGAATCAGCACGCTCACCTTAGATACATCACTGACATAATAAAATGTACAAAATGCACATATCACATGGAAAACATGGAGTAAGTCACATCATCAAAATTATAACAAAATATTATTACATGAAGAAAATAAAAATGTTAGCTTGTATCATTTAGTATCCACATATTGGTATGTGTTGACATGCATGCAGGTGTGCGGTGGGTAAGCATGAATGATTCCTACCATTGGTCGCTTGGGAATATTTTTTGGATCTCTTGGATGATCGGCTTGTAGCAGGTCTCCCTCTCTTTCCGGCCAGTCTCGCTCCAGTCTCTGACAAACTGCTTTATGGTGGACTTAAGTTTGTCCATGTCAAACGTTGAAGAGGGACGCACCTTCCGCGGATCCTCCTGGAAGTTAAATAGAGGGGGAAACGTTTTTATTAAAAAAGACCACAGCAGAAATCTAAAATACAGCACTACATAATGATTCAAATGAAGACCTCTATCTATTTTTTAAACAAAGCTACAAGGATTATTCAATTAGTTGTCAACTAAAAATGTGTTGCCAAATTGGTTCCCCTTTCTTAAATGGGATTATTTTCTAGTGTCATAACTGCTCTATGACAGTAAACAGAACAACGTATAGTTATCTCAGTGACTTTGGAAAACATGGAACAACCTTTAACTCCTTTTTCTACCACAAACCTAATGAATTCATGAATAAAATAGTCGACAGATGATGAGACAATAATAACAATTGTTGTAAATTACAGCCCAAATGTATAATGAAGATAATGATAATCTTTAATGCACTCTACAAAATGTTATAATAATAATAACTTAATTGTTTTAATGTGTAGTGTTTTTACCCAAAGATTATCAATTATTTTTATCATTTCACAAATGTGGAGAGTTGGCTCCTTGCCTTTCACATCTGTTGTATAATATTGTTAATGTACTTCTCTACATGCCTGTAGAAATCGCCCCTATGGAACTAATGATGCATACTGAATCAAGCTGAACACTTTATATGTATACTAACTGGTGAAGTAAAGCTTACCCTCTCGCCGTACTCAATGTTCTCAAACATGTGGAGGCTGTTGTGAATGATGGCCTGCATAATGTCCTGGTTGTGGTCCGCACACTGGCTGATCCGGGCCAGGTTGGACAAAACATCTGGCAGCAAATCCTGGTGGTGCTTCGGGAGGCTCAGAAACTGACGCTCGGCACGCTTGACCTGCTCCTGGACGTTGACCCTGGTAAAAACACAAGACATAATTCAATTCACGATTCACAAGATGTGTCATGTCAGGGGTGCCCAGAGGGATAACACAGGTCACTCATCTGGGAAGAAAATGGGTTTAGGACTGCTTATGGAGGCAGTGTGTTTCTACAGTCTGGTCGAAATGGTTCCTTTATTCATTAGTACAATTGTTATCTTTAAATATGATTGCTACACTACATTATGTATATTTTAAGTGTTAAGGGAGATAGATAGGATGGAACATGTTGAAGATGTGGTGCCATGACAGGATTGGAGCTAAAGTCAGAACATTAGGAAATAAATGCCATCAATAGCTGTTTCAACACAAGATGACTATAATAAACACTAGCCAATTATTTCATACAAATGAAATTATCAGTTAGCAACCTTCCCTCCCAACCTTGTTATCTGTCCTTTACTGTAATCATATGCTAACGGACGTTTTTTGATAAAAACTGTCACTTGGATGGTACTTTGTTTTTAAGCACTGTTATACCTGTACAATCTAAAAGCATCGATTATTCTCCAGAAATGCTTCCTCTCCAGCTTGGCCTCTTCCTCGGGGCTGTTTTTAATTCTGTCTTTGTTAAAAAATGGTGCTCCTTCAGGTCCCTCTCCCGTTGTTTCGGCCATGTCTCAACAGCCGTCCAATCAAAACACGAAAAACTTCTTCTTCGTGGGATTTGTTAATTCCCGCAGAACAGACTACACGAGGTGCGTTGCTGCCACCCACTGCCCCACGAGGAGACTACAGGCAAACAGAATATATGGAGGAAATAAATTGGCTACTTAGATATTTTTACAATTTAAACATTTAAAACGTAGAAGTAGAGTAGAAATACTTGCTTAGAAGCAAAAATACTTAATTCAAAAATCTTACCCAAGTTAAAGCACGACAGTATTAGAATTAAAATATATTTATAGTACAAACACAACATAACAATACAGTACTTAAAGGTGGGGTAGGTAATTTTGGAGAAACCAGCTCGAGATCGCTAGAATTTGAAAATACACAGCCGGAAAAAATCTGCCACTTCCTTACAGAGCCCCTCCTCCAACACACACGAACGCGCACATGACCAATGAGGGCACGAGATAAGTTTGTGCACAGATGGAAGGCTGACAGGCAGGTAGGCCATCCAGTTATTTTAGCCGGGCCGGCTAAAATGATTGGTCGTGCTTTTTACAGTACTACGGCTTCCACAGATGACATTTTTTTATGGATTTTTTGTCAAAGCACTTAAGATATTCATTGCTATCGGGATGTTAAGAGCATTCCATGGAATATAACAAGAAGTGTATCTCGAGCCGGTTTCTCAAACTTACCTACCCCACCTTTAATTTGTAATACTAATGCAAACTACCGTAAAAACATCAAAAAATACACACTTAAAGGTGGGGTAGGTAAGTTTGAGAAACCGGCTCGAGATACACGTTTTGTTATATTCCATGGAATGCTCTTAACATCCCGATAGCAATGAATATCTTAAGTGCTTTGACAAAAAATCCATAAAGAAATGTCATCTGTGGAAGCCGTAGTACTGTAAAAAGCACGACCAATCATTTTAGCCGGCCCGGCTAAAATAACTGGATGGCCTACCTGCCTGTCAGCCTTCCATCTGTGCACAAACTTATCTCGTGCCCTCATTGGTCATGTGCGCGTTCGTGTGTGTTGGAGGAGGGGCTCTATAAGGAAGTGGCAGATTTTTTCCGGCTGTGTATTTTCAAATTCTTGCGCACACTAGAGCTGGTTTCTCCAAAATTACCTACCCCACCATTAATTGTTAATTTTATATGTATTAAGAGTCTATAGATTCGTCCTAAATTCACCAATAATTTGCATTAAATATGCCTAATTCATAATAAATCAATATTTTGTTTTATTCTCTTAACAATAAGTATCCTCTTCAATAGTACATACCCCACATGTATTAAATATCTTAGAAAAAAGGGTTAATATATATATGAGAGAAATATATAAATAAGTGTTCTGCCATGAAAACATGGGTTGCTAATATTTTCATCCCAGCCTAATTTGACCTTCACAAACTAGAACAAATACTCTTTGTTTCTGCAAGTCAAAATAAAGATCAAAGAACAACATTTTTTTTAGGGTTTTTTATATGTGATGTCACTGCTGTGCTCAAGCAAATACAAATCTGCTTATCCCATCAGATTTTCGGGTTGATGATCTTGCCCAAGAAAAGGATGTTTTCTGTGATGCGTTCAACGATGGTAACCATAAATGGACGATTGAACTTCAAGACAGGGATGCTCTGGAAGGACATAAGTGTGATGCCGATGCCTGTGGCTGCTGCAGCGGTGGCTCCGGCCTCATCGACATCAAGGGTGGCTTGGTGCACAACCTGCAGTGAAACAGAGATAACGTTAGATGGATGGAATGTAGGGAAGAAAATGTGTGTGAAATATATTATCTTACGTCTGAGACTGCCAGTTTTTGCCCCTCTGAAATGCCACTAAAATCTGCAAGATCACTAAACATGTCGGTCATTCCCATTGAGATCAGCATATCGTTCAGTGTGTAGGAGGTCTTGATGGAGAACTTTGGAATAAAGACATCATATCTCCTAAAATAAAATAAGAAATAGGCAAACAATAAGTTATGATCTGACAGAAATAACTGATCTACCAGGACACAGCTGAGTTTTTTACAGTGTCAAACCTTCCATGTTAGAAACCAAGAAATTGATGATGATTTTAGATTTGTCCAAACCTTCGCCTCATCCACTTCAGCCATTTGGTGACATGCCCTGGGCAAATGGTCGACTCCAGCGTTGCCATGTCGTCAGGCAACATCAGCAGCATGGAGTAGGTGCTGTTGAAGGGCAAGTGGAGGACTGACGTGTTGATTGCCTGGTCGTAATAGGAATCAAAAGTGTCCTCCATATTCATCATCTGGACTGCAACCTGGGAAAATATCAAACATGAGGTGTCTGGATCAGAAAAGACACGCATACAAGGATGCTCAATTATCTTTATTTACTGAGACTCAAAACCATTCTGGATAAATGCTGCATCTTTGAACCTTGTTGTTGTCATCCACATTGAAGATATCCTCCTTGGTTAGCATAGCATCAAATGGAGTCGCCCAATTTCCTGTTGGATGATGAGCAGGTAGTAAAACAAATGTTGTGGTTAACATTTTAACCAAGTAATAAAGGGTTTAAAAGAGGATATTTTGGGGAAAATAATATTTTTGCGATGTTTTTAGGAATCACATAGACCAGGCTATAACTAAGAACAAACCCCTCTGTTAAAACCTTCAGAATATAGATCGGAGTAAAACTTTGGTGTAGGTAATTGCTAGTGAAATGGAGATTTCTGGCTCAAAGTATGACAAAAAATCATTAAGACACTTATTTACTATGACATATTTTTCTAAAAATGTTGTATTTGATTATTCACATTCATGATAAAGTCTAAATGGATTCAGGAGAAATCTACAGATGCAAAAGTTAGTAAAATGAATAAATAATAAATAAATGTGGATTTTTGTGTGAAAGCAAAACAGCCCTGAATGAATAGATTGAAAAATGCTGTTTTGCTTCGGGGTTGCAGCTCTAAATGTGTAAAAAAAAAACAAAAAAACAGATCTGCTTCTTCTTCTCATGAAACCTGATACCTTTGTAGTAGATGTAGCTGATGAGATACATGACTGTGCTTTGATCCAAGCTCTCGACAAGTTTCTCTATCTTCCCGTTGGTCTTGTCCTCCACATACTTATTGATGGTATTGGCACTTTCTGCGGTTTGGGTGAAGTCGACATTGAACCCCTCTGCAAAGTAAGACTGCTTCAAGGTCTCCAGGAACTCAGGCTTTGGCTTGAGGCGGTTGTCTATAAATACAGCAGTCCCTTCGCTGACTTCTTTCTGAGATGGGCTGTTTGTCTCTTCTAGAAGTTTATGGAAAGCTTGATTAACTTCTTCCTGTGTCAAGAGGGTGCTGTTGAAACCCAAGCCGCTGAATATCTGACTGTGGGTCATACTCCGTGCTCCTACGGACAAGGCAGCCAAGGCGTGAGACACACTGATTGGGGAGAAGAAGATGTTCTTTCCCGCCGAGTCAGCATGAGCTGCTAACTTGCTGTACAATTCAAAGGAGAACTGTTTGTTTGCTGAATTCACCAGAGAGAGGCTGGCGGCGCTGGGTTCAGGTCCAGTGTTCTGGTCTCCCTGACTGTGGCCATAATGGTGATCTCCTCTCCCCACGCAGATCACTGCTGATAAGATCCATATCCCCAAGGCGGCATGCATCATTGTGAACTAAGACCAAAGTTCAAAAGTACATTGTTAATTTGGATTACACAATATTTGCTGCTGGGAGGGGGGGGGGGGCTGCCTCTGTAGCAGGCGCCCCTCCAGAGTTCAAAACTGACCTTTGCGGCCTGTCTTCCCCTCTATGTCCCCCATTACTATCTACAATCCAATAGCAAGGCAAAGAAGAAGACATTTTTTTACATGAGAAACACTAGTCGACTGATTTTCCTAGAAGCTACATTAAAGATATTGTTTTAAAGGCCTTACACATATTTTCCTAACCCTCTAATGACACAGAAGAGGTTCCTACTGTACACGCCATGTTTAGCAAATTCTTTGCATTTTTTTTTTTAATTGGTTTTGAGAATACTGGTTTATTTAGAAAGCAGATGTCATGTGTGTCTGTGCCCCAATCAGGGCTTAAAACACGTTTAAATTAGAATATTTTTATTTTATTAGAATCTAATAAGTAGGTGGGTTGTTCAGTTACTGTCAAGGACATTTGATTTACAACAACACAGAAAATGTGTAGATTTTTCTGAATGTTAAACTCATTGACATTATACATGAAACTCTTGATAAATAGTACTTAAATGAGATCGTTTTTAAAATTCCCGAATTTAAAATAATACATCAAAAGAGGGATAAAAATGGTCATTTCTAACAACTCTACATTTACATTTGTAACACGTTGCAGATGTTAAATATTTTCAATTCCGGTGTACACAGGGACATCTCACACATAAGATGTCAAACATAGTTTTTCACTTTTGAAAGAGTATTCAAACGTGTGTTTACATAAACATGTTATATGAGCTCTCTGAATCTTTTTACTTACCTTCTCCTGGTTGAAGCAGAGGGAAGCACAGGCAGGTCAGAGGGAGACTTCCCTTTTATAAGACTGATCAGAGCTGCTGAACTTTGTCTTTGTTTATTCATCATCTCAACCTCATATTTGCTCTGCTCCCAAATTTGCTCTGTGTAGCAGTAAGTCTGTGTAATGATTACTATTACTGACTAACCATGGAATCAAACTGCACGGATAAAAGCACAAGTCAAGCTACCACTGTCATCAGCATGTACAAAAATATGTTAGTAATAAGTGCCTATTTTCTCACTCCCCTGTTAATTAATGAACCGACATAAGTTACATCTTTATTCAAACTATTATAGGTCGTACTTTGGCGTCAAAGAGTAGCAGTATGAGCAAAAGTGGGAGAATACCATCTTAGCAATCATTCTGTGATACTTGCACCTAACAAGAACATTTCTTTTTTATGTGCCCTATACATACAAAATCTGATCTCTGAAAACTAAAGCAAAGCTTCCCTCTCAGAGGACATAAACAAAGCAGATTGGCTCATTGTATTGAAATGTGTTC